TGGTTTCCACCTTTTAGCTATTATGAATAATGCTGCTATGAATGTTGGTGTACAAATGTCTGTTCTAGTCCCTGCGTTCAGTTCCGTTGGCTGTAAAAAGAGCATGTTGTTTTGTGACCAGCTTTTCTCTCTGAAGTATTAAGAACTTTTTCCATATCAGTAGCTGTATTTCTGCAACGGGATTTTTAAGGCATGCCTGGTACTTCACAGTGTGGTGATAACAGTTTAGGTAACAAATTCTCTAGTGTATACAGATGCTTTAAAGTTTTCCACATAGGTATAACCTTATACCTATATTTTTAGACATTACATATAAGATTAAATTCTCCCTTTTTCACCCCTCAGAACCCAGCCCTGCCCCTACTCCCCACACCAGGTAAGTCCTGATACGTCATCATAGATTCGCTGAGTATGCATTTACACACATACATGCAGTAGACCCTTACAAAATGCATGGTATCATTTGATGCCTTTCCGTGTAGGGGTTGGTTTCTTGATTTTTGTTTTCTTTTGCTTTTCCTTTTATCAGTGGAGTCATACTGAAGGGATTTTTTCTGGGACTTGGTTCTGTCACTCAGCAGCAGGTCTTCACTTACACTTTTAATCTTTTCTTATCAGGATGCTGAGGCTGTTCTGAAGCCTCAGGCCAGTCTTGGGGAGCCCCGGAGGTGGGTTGTGGAGGCCGACCTGGTTGTGGGTGGCCAGCAGCAGTGGTGGCCCTCCTGGGGGCCTCAGCCAGCCTGGCCGCCTGTGCGGGGCACTAACTGTGCACTTCCAGGGCCTGGGGTGGGGCACAGTCTCCAAGGGTGAAGGAAACTTCCTTGGCTCGTTCAAGGGCTGGATCTTGGATTTCTCTTGGTGGGGAAACCTCCAGAGCTGAGGGTTGAGTTCATCCTGTCCTCAGGCTGTGGCACATAATCAGTACTGATCATGTGAGAGACCCTTTTTCTGCTTGATTGATTATCTGGCCAACTTATGGTCTGTCCCCTCCCCCTACATATTCTTCACTCTGTCCAGGGATGCCGCTGTCACCCCCACCCCGGCAAAGGATCCTATGCCCAGAGGCCCCTCACTCCCCCAGGGCCTGCCCAGGCAGTCCAGCTCAGTCCTAGGAGCCCCTACTTTGCTTTTTATTGGCTCTGAAATCAGATACCTCTGGGAAGTAAGATGGGGGTATGCTCCTTCCCCTGCTCTTGGGAAAGATGACCTGGAGCTGGCTGAGGGCCTGAGCTACCCAGCGACTTTGCAGGAACCTCACCATTGTCCTGGCACCTCACTGTGCTGTTGTGCTGTCAGCCAGGGTAGGGGTGGGGTTAGAAGGGGCCAGAAACCTGTGCATCCTGCCTGGAGAGAGCTCCATCCTGTGCTTTCATCAGGGGCTGGTGTTGGAGGCACCCCAAGTTGGTGACTGAGCTGGGCCTACAAATCCTCACTGGGGAGCTGGCGAGGGCGTGGAGCTCAGGGCATCCCCTGCCTAGAGTTTTGGTCAGCTTGTGGGCTGATCAGTCCCAGCCTCTGCTCCCAGGGGTGTGTAGGGAAGATAGGGGGACCCAAGCCCTGCTTGGCCCCTGCCCTCCTGAACCTGTTCCCCTTCTCCTCATTCCTCTGGGCTCCATCTTGCTCTGCCTGTCTGCACACAGGTGCATGTTTTTCCCAGTGAATAAATGAGCAAACTGGGGCCTATAGAGAGCAAGTAGCCTGTCCAGAGTCACAAAGCCCATCACAACTGAGCCAGTTTCACACACTTCTTAACCTAGCTCCACATCTACTTGGCTCCTGGTGCTTATTACCTCCTTATCCTGGCCCCAGAAAAAAGGGCCTTTGGTTGGAGGTAGCGCTGCCCAGCGCAGATCCCAAGATCCCAGGTGGTTGGGCAGCGCCCTCTTCTGTCTGTGACTGGGAATGCAAGGATACCGGACACGCAGGGGCAAACCTCTGGCCTGAGAAGGGTGCCTTCCAGCCGAGGCATGCAGTCTCCCAAGGTATCTCAGCAAGCAGTTGGGAGTCCCTGGTCCATTTTACAGCTGGAGAAACTGAGGGGCTGTGTGACAAGTTTCCCCACATTCACATGTCTGCGTCTTTGCTTTGGGCATAACCCCTTTCCGCCTCGGTTTTCCCATGTTTCACTCTAAGGCTTAGATTTAGACTCCACTAAGCCAGGTGAAGTGAAGGAGCATCAATGTGACAGCCCTAAGGAGAGAGGCATGATCTACTTACCCTGTATTCTCAGCCCGGCTCCCAGAACCTGAGAGATTCTGGCACTTCCTCTTGAGCCTTTCCCAGAATCTGACAAATCTCTCTCCTCTCTTCCCACCCCCTCCCTCCTCGTCACTCCTCTGCCTCCTGTGACTTCCACTGGCTGCGCATCCAGCTGATCCATGACCAAGATAATCAGATTATTGTGGGTCCAGAATAATCTATTCCATATGGCTTGCCAATTCGGTGGCTCCGGGAGCTAAAGGTGTGAGGGGTGGGGGTGATCTCAGTAGGAAGGGGCTTCCTGGGAGACTTGAGGCCTTAGCTGGGAGGCTGATGGGGAAGGAGGAGCTGGAGGAGAAGCTGAGAGCCTTCTTGCTGGGCCCTCTGCTCTGAGCTCCAGGTGGCTGCAGCCCCCTCTCCAGCACCAGCGCGGCCTCATCTATCCATGACCCAAGGGGGCTTAGGACCCATGGTGGGGGGCTGGGCACTCCCTGTGCCTTTTTCACTCTCTGGATAGGGGAGAGGGTGTTCACTATAGGGCATTACTGCTTAAAAGTGGCTGAGCTTTGTAATTCTCAGATTTTACCTTTAATACCCCAAATCTCTAGAGATTCTGGTTCAAGCAGGTCCAGGGTGGGTCTGGAAACCTTTTTCTTTTTATATCTCCATAGGTCCCAGCACTTTCCCCACCCCAGGGCAGCCTTCCAGGGGGAAAGCAGCCACTGGAGTCCTCCTGAAGAGACAGGGGAGGTGGTAGGGAGGACAGAACACCGGCTTTGGTCCCAGACAGAGTCAGATAGATCCCACCTCTGCCCCTCTGAGCCATATGGCACAAGACCAACTCTATGCACCTCATTTCCTCATCTATAAAGTGAGGCAGTGATACCCACATCACAGTGTGATTGTGAGCTGTGACCCAGCCAAGCCCCAGCACAGTGCCAGGCCCCAGGTGACAGCAGGAACATGCATGTGGGCGCTGCATGAAGCACAGTCTGTGCAGTATGATTTGATCCTTGCAACTGTCAGCACAGTAGGTATCATACATGGCATAGAAGCAGAGGCTGGAGCCCAGAGATGGAGAGTGAGTTACCCAAGTGACACAGGTGGTACGTGACAGGACAGGGATTCTATTCTGAGCCACACTGGCCACACCCCCAAGGGGTGTCCTAGGTTGCCTAAAGGTGGGGGGCATAAGTAACAACTGCTCCCCTGAAAAATCTTGCCCCTGGGGCTGGTACTGTGGTGTGGCAGGAAGACCCCTGGCAGTAGGGGACACCCAGATTAGGAGCTTCCCAGGAGGTGCGCCTGCTGATGCTAAACAGGCTGGCGGTAGGAGAGAGCTGCTTCCTACTCCTGGGGCCTCTGGCTCCGGCGGGGATGGGGATTAGGGGCTGCAAGGGGAGCACTGACATTGCACCTTTGATTAGCACTCCTGTGTCAGAGGGGCTGGCCGGGAAATGAGGGCACTGAGGCTCATGGGGTGGGAGGAGGGCAGCACCCAGGACCCAGGCCTGGCTTGAGGAAGCTGGCCGGTTCCTATCAGGAAGGCTGAGACCCAGGCCCAAACCCAAGAGGGTGCTGCTCTGTCCTCCCTGCCCCAACCCTGGCCACAGACCCCGACTGAACTCCCACCTCTGCTCAGTGGGGCTGCCCCAAGGCCTCCTTTCCCAGCCTTACACGTTGGCAGGAGAAGGCAGGCTCGGGCCAGGGGAGCAGGAGCCACTGGCTCCGGCACTTGTCAAAACACAGGCCCCAGAGGTGTGAAGTCCTCACCCCAGCGGGAGGGCGTGTGGGCCCTGCCCGGAGAACTCATTAAGTGGGGCAGCTCCCTAATGAACCCAACCGACTGGAGAGGCTGGTGATAAGGAGATCAAAGGTGAGAGGCGTGAGGAGAGGGAGAAGGGAGCTGGCTGACAGGAGAGGGTAGAGCCCAGGCTCCAATTTGGGGGGGTCCCTCCTCTGCCCCCACTTGGTTTCATCAGGCCCACTGACCATAGCTGTTGCGTGGCTGTTGCACACACTGGCCCCCGAGACCCAGGAGCAACAGGAGGAGGGACTCCCATGTGGCACCTCCATTTGTCAGCCTTAGGGCTGAAGACCCCAAGGTTGGAGTTGGGGATGGAACCCTCCCATCTGCCCTGCCTCTCTCATGCCATTTTTGTGGGTTCTTTGCTTCCACAGGCACCGCTGGGTCCTTATACCCCTCTCTCAGCCCTGACATCAGAGATCCTCCTGCCATGCACTGCTCATGGTGCCCTGCTCCTGCTCCGGGTCTCTCGGTGGTTCCCACGTAAGTGAGCAGTGAATATGAATGGTTGGGCCCCAGATCTGAGAATCCTCAGGGGCCAAGCTGTTTTCAGGATATATAGTCGGCCTCCCACACATATGGTCTCTTATCCATAGAATGTCTGATTTTGTCCTTAAATAAAAATTCACTTCAGAGCATTGTTCCCAACAAACCATTAATAGCAGTTTCCTCTGGATTGGAAATTGGAGGCCTCAGAGGCAGGATAGTAAAGAGATCTGTTATACCCTCTCTACTTGTTCACTTCTTGACTTTTAATCATGTGCATGTATTACATTTTCAAATAAATATACAACAATAAAACAAAAGGATGGCTGATTGCCTAGGAATTTGGGTCATCCCGAGTTTTCTCAATTATTAGCTACAAAGTTGAAATCAAAATCATGTAGAATTGGAGGAATTTTTTATATTCAGAGGCTGGCAGCAGATTGCCCAGAGACCTCTGGGATCACACCCCTCTGGCCTGTCCAGCCTTTACTCTGCACCCGCTTCTGCTTGGGTGCACAACCATTTCCCACTGTTCGTTACCTCTGGTCCAGTGGGATTGAAGAGGCCCATCACCGGGCTTCAATGCCTGGTTCTTGGCTTGGGTCTAGAAGTGCAGGAAGGCATCCATCAGCCAGGGTCCAGACAGAGCAGACCCTGCTGACAGTTGGAGGCTGAGCAGGGTCCTCCTGGGCCAGGCTCTCCTTGGGAATATGATGGGTCCTATGGCATATGCCCACAGTGTGGGCTCCTCCACTTCTCCCCAAAGAGGGGCTGGCATTGCCTCTCCTGAATGTGACCGTGGGCATAAGCATCTAGGGCTGGGGACAGACTGCAGAGGAGGGGGTGTAGAGGGTGTGAAAGGAGGCCAAAGGCAGTAAAAGAAAAGAGACAAGGGGAGGAGGCCCTGGTGAGCAAAGATGCCCAGAGGGAAAGTACCAAGCCACTTAGCTTTCTTTGCTACAAACCAGCTCACCCGTCAGTCTCACAGAACTGGAAAACATGGGGGATTTAAAACACCAGACCCTCCGACACTGAATGAGACCCTAGATACCACTTCTCTTGAGGACATAATGCCAGACACCAGGTACTTCACAGTCTAGCTGGAGAGTAGGCATGAAGTAGCTATTGTGACAAGGTGCAAACTCAAACCCCTGGGGGGGGTCAGCCAGGCAATAGAGATTCTCTGAGATTTCCCATGCGGACAGTCATGTTGTCTGTAAGGAGAGATGCCTTTATTTCTTCTTTTCCAATTTGTATGCCTTTTATTTCCCTTTCCTTTTTGCACAAGCTAGAACACCACCACCCCCGCCCCTGAATACAACGTTGAAGAGGTGTGGGTAGGAGCAGACATCCTTGCCTTGTTCTCAATATTAGGGGGAAATCTTTCAGTCTTTCATTATTTAGTATGTTAGCTGCAGGTTCTTTCTCGATGCCTTTCATCAGATTGAGAAAGTTCCCCTCTAGTCAGAGTTTGCTGAGAATTTTTACCAGGAAGGGGTGCTGAATTTTGTTAAATGCTTTTTCTATGTCATCTTCACTCACATTTCATTGGCAAAGCCCATTTTACCTGCCCCAAAGTGGCAGAGTATCAGCTAGGGGCCAGTGGTGGCAGCTGTGGCACCAGGCCAAGCCCCTGGCACTGCCAGATTGAGGGCGTCCCAGAGGGCAGTGGGCTTCCCCTCTCTTGGCGAAGACCATCCAGAACCTTACCAGACTCAGCCAGCTAGTTGGCTTTGCCTGGGATAGCTTCCTCATGGTGTCCCTCCCACTCACCACCACCAGGGAAGGGCACATCCAGGACCAGCCTGCCTCAGAGGAGGAACGGATTACTGTTCCTCTCCCTTCTGGCCGGATTCAGGACCCCATCCCGTCCATACCCGAGTCCACAGACCTGGCCGCAGTATGCCCCGTTATACAAACTGGAAACAAAGATGCAAGAAAATTTAAGAATTTGCATAGGGTCCCCAAAAGGTGAAGGCAGCCCCAAACCTAGGTACTGGACTTCAGTTCCTTGATTTTGCTTCCTTTATCCTGCTGAGCTTGCCCAAAACCCTGGACAGCGCTGGCCACTGGCGCAGGCAGGAGGCTCCAGTGGCTGGGTCAGGTGCCAACGTGAGGGCCCAGGTTGGGCAACCTGGCTCAGCTAAAGGGCAGGCAGGCACCTTCCCCCCGCCTCCCCGCTTTTGGTTCAAAGGGTCAAGCCCCGCCCCGCCAGGCCCCGAGCCCGCTTTGAAGTGCTGATGCGGCCTGGAAGGGGCCACTTCACACCTCGGGCTCGGGATAAAGCGGTCGCTGGCCGCCGACCCCAAGAAGCGCCGCCGCTGTCATGGCCCAGTTCCTGTGTCCGCCGCTCTCTGAGTCCTGGATCCTCTCTGCGAGCTGGGGCCCAGCTCGGCCGCCTCCGACCTCCGACAGGGACTTCGGCTGCTCCCCCGCCTCGTCCCCGGACTCCTGGGACAGCGCCCCGGCCGGCAGTCC